AGCATATATATAAGACATACAACATATTATTTGTGAATCTGGTTGACCTGTTATGCGCATAACTGATTATCTGTTGAAATTGTCTGTTGTAAGTTTCGTGTCCCTTTGTCTGTGACAGGAGAAACGCGCGCTTTTCTGAAAGTAGTAAAATCCCTTTTCCCTTTTTTGGAATGCAGCGGGAAAAGGGGAGGTGTCCTGAGGTCATGCCCATGTCACGATCTGCCATTCTGCCATTCTTCTTCTGGACAGAGAGCTCTTAATCTGTCGCTTTCTGTTTATCGGATTTAGCAATTTATGCATTAGACGGTCATGGGGTCCAGGCGAGTCTGTCGCTGGAACACATCTCAGATACCATGTTCTTCGTTCTGTTGGAATGGATAAGGACCAGGCCTTGACCGGAAGCAGGTCCAGACAATTAGGTGCCCTGTTGATCATTGATCTTCTTTACGACCGCAGATAGCTGGGGAGGAGAGTCTTTATTTTTTCCGGTGGAATGCGGAGATTCAATTGTTCAATTGTGCGATATTCGCAGAGGCCTTACATATCCCCCTTTAGCTTGGTGATGTTCCCGGTGCGAACATCGGCGGGCACTGGAACAAGAGGCATAGAGAGAGAGAAAACAGGCACACACAAGATACAAACAACATCTCCATCACTAACTGAATCCTGGTGCAAGGCTTAGGTAATTTGGGACAATTGGGTTAGGAAGATGAGATAGGGGTGCATTGTTTAGGATTGTCTAGAATTGGGTCGTTTCGATTACTCTAACTGTCAGAGGTTCGACGAGGCGGTATAGGCGTAATCTCAATCAGGTTTGTTGAGTTCTCAGGTTCAGGTTCTTGGTCAGTTTTATCACGTCGGAACATATTTGTTGAAAGACTCTTGGACTGCGTTCACTCGCTTGTGGAGGAGGAAGGCAAGTGTCAGAGTCACAACATATCCTACAATAGTAGAAACACAAAGCGCTGTGTCAGCGGCAGACCAAGACCGAATGATTGGCGCGCCAGCGGGCGGAAGGCGAGCGATAGCTTCTAGCTGTATCAACAGGAGTCAAATCAATAAGTTGCGTTCCTTCCTCCTTGATCCTTTCTTACAATTCTGGATCGAGGACGAAGGAATGCTGTTTGAAGAAGGGTTAGATTTAGAGTTCGGCCTGATACTTGTCATCGGTGAGGTGATACAATGCTAAATCATCTATATGGAGGAT